TGTGACGTTAGAGGCACACTGCACCCTCTCTGGACCTCAGTGTCCTCGCTTGGAAACAGGGCTTGGAAAGCCCGCCTTGCAGGACCTGGGAGGGGCTGGCTGTCAGGGGTCTGCTCCGTGTGGCAGGGGTCGGACTTGACCCCTTCTTGCTTCTTCCCTCCAGAAATGGGTCCCCTTCTGAGCAGAGTCTTACTCCGCCTTCCAAGCCCATGGAGGGGGTTCTGAGACCCCCTAAGAACCTGGTGTGAAGGATGTAAAAGGGGTGGAGAGGTGGCCCTCCCGGTCCCCGACCCCTGCCGCTCACCTCACGGTGGACTGATACACCAGGTCCTCCCTCTTGCGGTAGTTTTCCATGTGCGAGTAGTTGGTGGAGAACATGGCGTCGAAGGTAAAGATCTTCTGCTTGATGGTGCCGCCATCCATCACCTGCAACGGAGCACAGAGGCAGCCACAGGTGAGTGTGCAGCCAGCACTGGCCACCCTTTCCTCCAGCAGCGGTGGGCTCTGGCACTGGGGAGATGCAGAAGCCAGGGAGCCCACCGCCCTGGGTTCCCGTTGCAGCTGTCACTGGAACCATCCAGGTCATCCCCATTTTATTGATGTGCAGACTGAGGCTCTGCAGTGCAGCAGCTTCCGGAGGTCCTACAGCTGAGAAGCAGCAGAGCTGGCCCTTCTCTCGCCCTCTTTCCACCACGCCAGGGGCTCCACTTCTGCGGCCCCCTGGTCAGCCTTGCACACAGAGCTGCACACCCAGCCAGCGCGTGCAGATGTGTTCTGCAGAGTCAGCTACAGAGTCACAGCTTGATCCCAACGCCATCCCCGCCTGAGAAGAGACAGGACCGGGGGTGGGGAGTGGGGGCTGGGCAGGACAGAAGGAGAAGGGGGACTGGGCGCCAAGGGCAGCCCCTGGAGCGAAGATCTCATGGGGGACACAAACCAGCTACATTGCAATAGCTCCTGATGAATCCTGCCAGGGGTGGGCCCAGAATGGCAGGCCAGG